AGTCTGTAATATGCATTTCTGCACAAATACTTTTCATATCTCTCTGTACATAACCTTTATTCCTAATCCATGCTTGCTAATGCTTTTACCTATAAAAGAGCCAACACAATTCAAAAAACACACATCTTGTCCTCTATCTTAGGGATTAGTGCACTTAAAATAACCTCCTTCTCCACCAGACTCAGTAAAAGGCTGGACTCCAGGTAGATTTATAAAAATAAATTTAGTCCATTCGTGCACCAATTACAACATCTTTAAAACAGAGAACATTAGTAGATGAAGTTGTTTTTATGTTGGCTAGCTTTAATGCCCTGGAAGAGGGAGAGACAGTATTGTAAATTTGACAGAAGCTTGCTAATGGGATGAGCCCAAATGTGCTACTGCTCCTTCACTGTCCTATCAACTGGCTGGGAGGCGGGTCAGTGACCAAACTATACTGCTTAACCGCAGTGAAGAAAATGAGGTCACAGACCGATGCCATCTGGTTCTGAAGACTGGTTGAACAGTATAACATCTTTTTTTACAGGTACTCACTTGTAAATATTTAAAACTGTTGATGGTATTTCAGTATGATTCCTCAGGTGTTTGCCCTTAGGGTGTGTCTGTCCACACTGGGAAATATGGGACTACAGAAAGGCTTAGCCTATAAGGTGCAGGCAAACTGCTTGGCCTGTTCTAGCTCTTAGTACACATTTATTACATTGAAGTTTAGGTTTCTCAACAATTAGTATAACCATGTGCTCAGGTCTGCTACCTAGCCTATTTCTGCTATAGGGATAGATGAAAACTAAAACTCCTTAAACAATTCCTAATTAAAATAATATCTAGATAAAAACAACCAAAAGAGTGATGTACAAATATCAGGAAGTGTGTGCGCAATCTTAATAAAACGTATAACCAATACCTACGTACAATCTTTATAACACATATAGGTGAAAAATCAGATCCATTAAAGTGTAGTTAGTGCCAATCATAAAATTGTGCAAAAAAATCCAACAGTAACCAATACAATTCATAATCCTAATATCCAATTGCTGTAATACCCTGTTTCCCCGAAAATAAGACCTACCCCAAAATTAAGACCTAGTACCATTTTTGGGAATTGCTCAAATATAAGACCCACCCCGAAAATAAGACCTAGTTGTGACCATTCCCAGGGCCGGTGGTGGCATAGGGGGGAACTTGAAGAGCTGCAGGAGAGAATCAGCGGTACCAGCGAAGCCAGCGCTAGAGGAAGCGAGGCGGCAACGCAGGGAGCAGAGCCACATAAGCCGATGTTTCATTCTATAGCGCGCTTCGCTCATTCTGGTTACCAAATTGCTCTTGGAAACGTATGGCACCCCTGATTACCCTATTCCTAACTTTGCCATTTTGGATAATTTAATTTGGATTTGCATTAACTTTGGATTGTTATACATAAAAAAAAAAAAAATAAGACCTACCCTGAAAATAAGACCCAGTGTGTTTTTTTGAGCCACAAAAAATATAAGACAGTGCGGTTGATTTACTAACCTTATAAACACACCACGAACATGTATACACCTCTGTAGTGTGTTCCCTCCCAGCATGATCTATAGGTGGAATCTAAACAACTTTGTAGTGTGTACACACCCAGCAGGTGTGTTGTGCAAAGCCATGCATGAATTGCAAGGTGATGTTGTGTAAATTAGCTCTATGTTGTGTTGCTTGCGTTGATGAATGCAGGAATGTAAATGCATGAGCTAACCATTTTTGTCTAAACTGTGAAGCAGCATTATATATGCATCATGTGCATGATTTTTCCATATATGGCATTAGTGGAAATATGCTTTTAGAGACTTTTTGGTTGATAAATACGTTTTGCTGTGTGAAAATCACACGCACCTGGTGCGTGCGTGTGTTTAGGTTAGTAAATCACCCCCAGTGTCTTATTTTTGGGGAAACACGGTAAATACAGTTTGGCTGATTGTGCAAATGTACAACTCTGGTAACCAATAGCAAACAAGAATCAATGTGCAAAAACTCCCCTCTATCCTTCTCTTGACCGGCAAGGTTGACAAGGGTCAGTCTCTACTGTTCCCTCACCTAACTCTTCAGTGTGCTCCAGCAGTTCTAGACCCTACTTGCAGCACTGACCCTTAATGCACCACCTAGTGCCTTTTGCTGGCATTCTTGATTGTGGAATACTAAAGAGCTTTTTCCTGGAAAGATTGTGCAAAGTTGAGGGTCCTATCATCTGCAATCCTTATTTAGATACAAATGAACTATCTAGTGTGAAAAATATTGGGTCATCTTTAAGTGGGACTGTCTGGCATAAATCATCGCAAAACAAAATATACTACCTGTGTACCTTTGACCCATCCTGCTGCTTAGCAAATTGTTTTCCATTTAGGGGATTCCATTTTAGCATGATACCCTCTTTTTATGCAGTCTCCGTCCTTTTCATTGTTGCCTGATTTAGGGAGTCTGGAATTTGGGCACAGCACCAAGCTGTTTTTTTTTGGACCAAGAACCACAACACCCTCTACACTGGACTCTGGCCAGGGTGGGGATGGTCTCTTCTCCCCATCCTGGGAGGACTCCCCTAATGAATGTATCCTCTTACCTACTCATAGAGTTCTCCAGGAACAGAGTCCATCTATTGGTTGGTCCCTCAAGGAACAGAGTCCCTCTATTGGTCGGTCCCTCCAGGAACAGAGTGCCTCTTTTGATCTGACCTCTGCTAGACTTTGTATGGAGGCTGAAAGTTTTTTACCTCTGGAAGGATTTGAGAACTTCTTCTGCAACAGATTAGGTGATCCACTCCCTACGCTGGACAGTGTTGAGGTGTGTCTTCTATAGAGCCAAAATATTGTCTTTCAGCTTCCCTCTTCAAATGCTCCAACTTTAAATAGTGAGTCTTCTGTATGGAAGTATCCCTCTTTTCTTCCTAGAAAGAAAGTATCCATCACTGGAAAGTCCTGTACTCCCCTGGACGGTCAGCAGATAGGTCACACTGTTACCTTGCTGCAGATTTCCCCTAAGTGGGATATTTCAAGTCTAAAGGCCTTTGTGGGACTTAATTACTGGCAGAAAGGTTTTGTTAGAGTTGTGGTCTTCTGAAGAAGCCTCCTTAGATTCCTTCCTCTATCCGTTAGTAAATTTTCCTAGTGCAAGTACCAGTAACCCCCCCGCATCTACTGCCACTCTGCAGCTCTCTCCTCCGATCTGTGTCCCCTCTGATCCGCACTACTCTCCCCTCCCTGTATTAGTAGAGGCAGCGGGGACACAGACCATTGTAGCTGTTGGGGGGGGGGAAGAGCAGTGACAGTCAGGATGCCGAGCGGGAAGGAGAGAGCAGCTGTCAGGATGGAGAGCGGAGCTGTGCGGGGCCAAGTGGCTAGGATGCCGAGGGGAGGATCAGCAAATATGTGAAATTTTTGCAGAACTTTCCCTTTACTGAGTGAACACCAGAGTGATCAGTACTGATCACTCTGATTGTAAATATCTGAGGAGATAGTGATTACTATGTCACCAGTTATGAATGAACAGGAAGTGCTATACATCACTTCCTGTTCATTCACGATTGGGGGCATTGTAATCATTTACTATGTGCTCAGTTTCTAACTGGACATGAGCACTCAGTTCAGAGGTTTCCTGTCAATTCATAACTGGGGAGAGTATAATGCTGCCTCAGTTTGTGAATGAACAGGAAGCCTCTGTACTGAATGCTTCCTGTTAATTCAGTTCTTTGGCTGTTCTTCTATTCTAAAAGGGAAATGTCAGGGGTCTGTTTAGAATCCTGATATTTCCCCAAAGCCTCCCGACATTAACAAAAAAAATAGCGAAATAAATAAAACACAACCACATATTGTGGTGTACTCCATGCACATGCGCCGTGGTGCATTCTTAGAACACATCGCAGTGCTTGATTTTTTTTCTTTTTAAAATATTAATTCAACTGTGTGGCAGCACATGGCAAAATGTTGTGATGTATTGCCCTGTGTTTTGCGATTAAATGTATGCCTGCATCATCTTATCACAACACACACACCAACAGTGCACAAACAGCACTGCAGATCAGGCGTTACCACAACACAGATTTTTAGCATAAGTTGCTTATGTACAGTTTTGCGTTCCTTCATTCTGTTACCGTTTCGCAAAAAGGCGCAAATTAGAATGTACAAATATTTATTAACTCAATAGTTTTATCTTTTAGATTTAGACAGAATCTTGTAAATTATGTTTTATTGTATGCTCTGATACAGATTTTAGTGTTTTTATCAATTTAATTGTGTATTTTTATCGGTTTAATATTGATTTGATAAACATTTGCGCAATTATCGCAGGGCCTACAAAATTAGTAGCACCATCTTTTAAATCTACTGCGCCTGTGCTTTCAGGAAATGTATGGTTCAGGAATCTGTTACAAACTCTAAAAGCTGCAGTTGAAAATTTAAAAAGAGGTCAAAAGAGTAAGGCAGGGCCTGGCAGTGAAAGGGTTAAAGGGGGAACAACATATGGCCCACCTTCCAAGCAATAACGAAGAGTTTCATTCCTAAAAAAAAAAAAAATGGTTTAAAAAAAATTTAACTGTACATCTCATAGCGGCAAGAAGGTTTCTAGTTTCTGCAGAAAGGCTTAGATTGCAACAAAGAAGAATTCATTGGTTGTTATGGGTAGCATGCCGATTTTACTTTAGGAACACTTTCATTTACTCGAGGTGCACTAACATTTGCACTAGACTCAAAAGCACAATGGAGTCTGTAAAGCAGGTGGAGTCAGCAGGTATTATAACTGCCTGTGGCCCCAGGATGAACAGCGATATGCATTTTAAAGAGAAACTTCTTTTTAAAGTGCCTTATCCTATTGAGCACAGTTTATGAAGTATAAAATCCAATTTAAATCCACAAACAGGTCTTTAATTCATATTGTTCTGATGTAATGTCCACATGTAAAACAGATTTGCTCCTAGTAAACTAATCAGCAAAATCTGAAAAGATAAAGAAATGACCGGCATAAAGTAATTGGTCTCTCCACCTGATGCAGTTGAAATGTTTTATTTCAGATCATACATACACATTTTGTATATGGCCTGCGCATATAATCACACATAATATTGGTCAACTGGGTTGCTTGTTAATACTTTTATTCAATAGTCTGAAAAAGAAAGAACAAATTGTACTTCATGAAACCTCCGGCAACAGCGGATCAGTTATAGAAAACACAATGGATTTGAAACTATCACATTGAGTGGATCCACTATAGTACCATATTATCTTATCTGCACCAATGTAAAAATCAGAGTTATAATGGTTTCAGACACATAAAATCCTTACAGATAATGGGAGATGTAACAAATGGGAAATGTGTTTTAACAGCACTGATAAGTGACAGAGAAGCACATGATCTTTGGTTAGCACGTTCCCCATCACAAGGACTTGCATATATGATAGATACTAGCATTCTGAAGCAGTAGACAAGATTGCACAGAGTGTATTCTTCCCACTCCTGCCAGATGGAAGGACTATTATTATAAATGAAAGGCAGCAGTAGTGGATGCCAGGCAGTCTTGTTTTGTGCCAGATTCTGAAGTCCAGATGTAAGCTGGCTACCCCTGGGACAGGACGGGCTTCAGCTCCCGCAGCAGAATGGAGCCAATCACAGTTTTCTCAGTATTTATGATGAGCTGTGCTGTAGAGCCTTCCTTCAGTTCCACTGTGACTAGCATCAATGACCCACTGTGCACAGTCTTCGCTGCAAACCTGAAAAATGAAGGAAGGAAAAAAGTTATACAGCAGTCAAATCAAAGCTTTTGTACACAGTACAATATATCATTAGCCTGTAATATACCTGTATGTTGAAAGGGATTTTTTTAATTGTATTCCTGAGCTTTCATCTTAAAGACAGATTTATAGGAGTGTCATTTTTTGTTAAACTGATAAACCAGTAAAATGCATTGTAAAAAAATAAATTCTTTACATAAGAAAACAACAGGAATCCTATATGCTTTTTTTCTACATAGCGACTAGACTTAAGCTGGCCATACACTAATAGATTTCTTTCCTTCAGCTTGTGGGCCAAAAAGCATGGACGAATCTCCCCACTGTGGTCATTGTATTCTGGTAGCCAGAACCTGCTGCTGTGAGAATACATGAACAGTGACTTCGTCCCAAATTTGTTACAGCCAGCACTTCCTTTAAGATCTATTTTCAATCTCCCAAAAATAGGTTGAAGGGTTATTAAAAAAAGTATCTAAATCCAAAACCAATATCTATCTATCTATCTATCTATCTATCTATCTATCTATCTATCTATCTATCTATCTATCTCATATCTAATGTCTCCATCTATTCATTCATCCTTGTTTCATTATCTATCTAAATATTGCAGTTTACCAATGCTTACATTTCTTAGGTCTTTTCTTCTGGTGATCCAGCCAATAACACATATCCTGTCTTAACGTGCCCATACACTGCACGATTATCGTGCGATAATCGCAGAAAATCCCGCGATCGTACGATAATCGTGCAGCGTTTGGAAGCCGTGCGACCGTTTCTACTGTACGGACGCACGACTTTTGTATTTCGAGCATGTTCGAAAACCAGCTGAGAATCGTACGATTTTCGGCAAGTACGATCTGCCTGTCCAAGATGGGCAGATCATAGGTTTTTTTAATTACTTTACAAGGGTTGTAAAGTGTATGGCCACTTTTAGGTTGTGTTAGAAGGACTAATAGATTTAGATGGACTTTACACAGGTGATTAACAAATTAAAGCCGAATTCCAGCTCACACTTCTTAAGCAGTTACAGAATTTTTTTACCACTTTTGGGATGGAGGTTTTAACTAAATGAATAAAAGCTGCCACTTCTGCTAGACAGCTTGGACTGTTACAGGAAGTTGTAAAATAACAGACTTACTGGCAGGATCACCAGGTAATAAAACTATACTGGGGGGGGGGGGACTCAAAAACAAAGACTGCTGAGTTAATACTATTGACAGATTGCATCGTATAAGTCGTATTATAGTTTGCCCATAGTTCCCCTTTAGGAAAGCTGCTCAGTGCTTTTTAATTGATATGCAATTCCTGGCTAAGCTTGATGTTCTTCAAACTAGTGTTTTTGCAAACCAAGATAAAAACTGCCTGCTTGTCATAATGTATAGCAATTAGTCATATCTTTTGGAAAACCTAGAAGACAAGGAAATGAAAGATGCAGGAAGGTAATTAGGTTTAAGACGTAAAAGCCGACTCTTTTTCTGAGCAGTTTGAGAAATGGTATGTAAGGCTTATGAAATGTCATCACAACAGAAGCAAGTAAGAATCTGCAATAAAGTTTTTTTTAATCCTTGTAAATGTACAAAGTTTACCTGGGGAAATAATCACTGTACTGGACCAAACTTAAATTCCCCGTGGGGGACTTTTTGGGGGTTATTTCTAATTTTACTTAACTTTATTTTTTTTTACTTAATTGCTATCACATGGGGGTGGGGGCTCACAAGCCACCTATGTGATAGCACACTGGTGGTGACAGGTTCTCTTTTTGGTGATATTAGGGGTCTTTTAGACTCCTAGTGTCACCTTTCCACTTCACTGGGGAATAACAGCTGCCTGCTGTGACAGCATAATGTAAACACAGCATGCTGCCTGCTATTGGCTATTTCAAATTGCACTAGCCAACAGCAGGCTGGCTTTTGCTCACAGCCACTGCCTGCTGTCAATCAGCAGAGGAGGGACCAAAGGAGAAAGTTCTCCTTCAGGTCCTCCTCTGCTGATTGACAGTGTCTGCAAATCGAAATAGCCAATAGCAGGCTAATTATTTCTTCCAGCCACTTGATGAAAGATTTGACGCCGGCTTTGTCCCGACGGCAGAAAAGGGGAGCATCGGATCAACGGTGGGGGTACAGGGGAGCAGCGGATCGACAGGAAGCAGCAGAACCACAGCGGGGGCACGAGAAGCAGTGGATCCACGGTGGGGGCACGGGAAGCAGCAGATCCGCAGCATGGACAAGGGAAGCAGCGGATCCGCAGCGTGGGCACGTGAAACAGCAGATCCACAGTCCGGGCACGGGCAGCAGCTGAGCCACAGAGGGGGAGCAATGGAACTGCAGCGGGGACACGGGGAGCATTGGAGCAGCAGCGGGGACACGGGGGAGCAATGGAGCCCCAGCGGTGACACGGGGGATTAATGGAGGCACAGGGAATACAGAGGCATAGCAGCTGACAGAGCAGAGGCTACAGCGGTCAGTGTCCATCTATGAGATAAAGGAGGAGAACGACAGAGCACAGCGGCGGCAGTAACGAATCAAAAATCAACAAATCGATAATGAGAATCATTGACAACGATTCTCATTATCGATTATCATCTATTAGTTGTTGCAGCACTAGTAGTATCCCAAATCTCGCAAAAGAACAAAATTCTGCACTGTGCTGATGAGATTACTGTGAGATTTCAGGTATTCAGCATTTTCTAGTATATTGCCAGGAGCAGCACCTTGTTTTCCCCTGTTGTATGGAAGCTAGGGGAAAGGTGAATATATGTACTAATTTATTTTCCCTACTTTTCTTATTATTTGTAAAGCTGCAATATGTGATAGGGAGGGGGTCCTGTTGTATTAAGCAGCCATCAAGTTGCAGCTGCTTCATTGTGGGAGTAGTGCACTTGACATGTTGGGAATGGGCTAGCCATTGATTTTTTGGATAACATTTCTAAAAACCTGGATATTTTTTACTGGGGGGTGACCCCAACAGATACAGCTTACTGATCCGTTCAGTTGCAGACAGCTGCTAATGGGAAAAAATGGAAAATTGTGATGCATATCTGTGGTAAAAACCACAGTACCTGGCTGAAATCTTTTATTTTTCTTTGCATAGGTATACACGAGGAACAAATGTATTTTAGACATCATCTGCTTCAAACGCAGAGCGTAGTTCCTCCTCCAGTGTCTGGGCAAATCCAACAGTCCCTGAGATTCTATTAATATAAGGTTTTGGCAAAGGGATAAATTGTGGATTAGAGATGGGTCGTGTAGAGGATTTCTTCAAATGTAGCTTAAGGAAAATGAAGTGACGTAGGCTGGAAGTTACCTACGGGCCACCCATAATAAAGAAACTTAGGGTTGAAGAAAATGCAATGTCAAAATGGAAGCAACGTGGGCAAACTACTTTTTGTTTGTGACTCACGTATTGGTAAGCAGATTACATGTTTACCAAGGATAAGAAGCAACATATCTGCCGCAACTGAAGATAGGTTGAGTTGAAAATACACCCCTTCATTCTATGAGGTATATAACTTTCTGGGTAAGCAACTGGAGAGAAGAATCAGCCTGGTACCTGCCCAGTGCTTAAAGTGACATTAAACCCTCAGATTTTTTAACATAAAACAATACTGTAATGTGTGCCTTACTGTAATCCATGGTTGTTTCCCTTCTCTTTGCTGCTCTTCCTTTTAAATCTGTATCTGTTCTCATGCTCTGCAGAACTTCTATTTTGCAGCAGACTGCCTGGTCTCAGGAATGGATACACGGTATCTGTGTATCTGTTTGTATAGGCTTGTAACCTGAGCCAGCACTACAGGAAGAGGCCCTGAGCTGAAAAGGGAAGTTCTCCCCCAGCATGAGAAGACATGAGGATTTAAAAGGAAGAGCAGCAAAGAGAAGGGAAACAACCATGGATTACAGTAAGGCGCTCATTACAGTATTTGTTTATGTTAAAAAATCTGAGGGTTTAATGTCACTTTAAGGGTGCACAAACAGGAGGTTCATCAACTTGTGGACATCTTGCTATAGGGATGTCAGCTGAGTGAATGCTGTGCTGGGATACTATACATGGGGAAAATGGACAAATTTTTTGTTGTAAAAAATAAACAAACCACTAAGTTATTCGTGGATCAGGTTGAAAGCTTTGGTGATTATCTACCAGCTGTAAACATGATTGATTTGGTTTGGATCCCACACAGCTGATAAGTTTGCTCCCATCTACTGGCCACTTACATAAATCAATTCAGTGATTTCAGGCTCTTGGATGACATAAAATATCCAGCATGCTGCAAAATATAACCAGCTAATGCTATGGATCTGTGTTGCTCTGAAATAGTTTTTCTAAGTGTATTGAAAACTGATATTGCAATATCCTCACAGCTTATTTCCTCAGGATTTTTTTTTTTTATAAAAAAAAAACTTTCCACTGTAATTCAAACTTTTCTTCCTTTATCTGTTCTAGAACATAAAAAAAGAAAACCTATAAACAGAAGCACATTCCTTGGATTTGGGAACTCAAATACCAATATTTTCAATTTGGAATTCTTGAGAAGCAAAAAGGTGCTTCAGCTGGCCAGTTTGAATACAAACCCGAAAAGCAGTTTTGGGCAGACAAATTAAGAATGTAACACAGAATATAAAAAACAAAAACAAAACCCAGTTTCAACAATCTTCCACTCAAATGATTATAAAATTGTAAAACCTGCTTCATACCAACTAAAAAAAATGTACAGTTGTGGTCAGCATTAGCAATGGGCATTGTGTATCTTTGACAGATGTGCATTTGCCCACCCTAAGCTGCTGAACTATAAAAGGCAGTTTATGGCAATAAAAATTGTGTGAACCCATTAACTTTCTTATAAACAACAATAACAGAAAAGCAAATGAAGCTGTATAGGAAACGCCTGCAATTTTTTGTTTAAATTTATGAGTCATGCAAAATTCCAAGACACTAAAATCTCCCTAATTACTTGTAATTAGAAGCCAAACTGACCCATTGTGATTTGC